TCCTGCTCAAGCAGGAGACCTTATACTATTTTAGATAGGTGGCTGTCCAGTCTTTTCTTAAAAACCTCCAGTGATGAAGCACCTACAACTTCTGAAGGCAAGATGTTCCACTGGTTAATTGTCCTCACTGTTAGGAAGTTTCTCCTTAATTCCAGGTTGCTTCTCTTGTTTAGTTTCCATCCATTGTTTCTTGTCCTGTTCTCTGGTGCTTTGGAAAATAAATTGACTCTCTCCTCTTTGTGGCAGCCTCTCAAATACTGGAATACTGCTATCATGTCTCCCCTATTTCTTCTTTTCTTTAGATTAGCCAAACCCAAGTCCTGCAGCCGCTCATTGTATGTTTTAGTCTCCAGGCTTTTAATCATTTTAGTTGCTCTTCTTTGTATTTTTTCCAAAGTCTCAACATTTTTTTTTGTAATGAGGTGACCAAAACTCTACTCTATGCAGTATTCTGTGTGTGGACCTACTAAGACTTTATAAAGTGGTACTAATACTTCACGTGATTTTGATTCTATGCATCTGTTTATACAATTTAGGATTAAAATTTAGGATTGTATTAACTTTTTTGGCTGCTGCCGTACATTGCTGACTTTTAAGTGATTGTCTATTAGGATTCCAATGACCCTCTCACAGTTACTGTTTTTGAGCCAGGTTTCACCTAATCTGTACTTGTACCTTTGGTTTTTCCTGCCCAGGTATAAAACCTAAATTTCATTTTGTTGGGTAGGGCCCATTGTTCAAGTCTCTCAAGATCTTTTTGGATCCTGAGCTTGTCTTTTGGGGTGTGGGCTATTCTTGCCAGCTTAGTGTCATCTGCTAATTTGATGAGTTCTCCTCCTATTCCCTTATCTAAGTCATTTATGGAGATATTGAAGAGGACTGGGCCTATGAAAGAACTTTATGGTACTCCACTGCTTACTTCCTCCATGTAGATCTAGTACCATTAAGGAGTACTAGTTGAGTATGGTTTGTTAGCAGCATCTGGTGGTGATGCTGTCTATCCCATATTTTTCTAGTTTACCAAGAAGTAGGTAGTGGTTTACTTTGTCAAATGTCTTGCTGAAGTCTAAGTATACTATGTCCACAGCATTTCACTGGTCTATGAACTTTGTCACTTCATCAAATAAGATTGGTTTGACATGATCTATTTTTAGCAAACCCATGCTGGCTACTAGCTATAACTTTATATGTTTCTAGATGTTCACAGATCTGGTTTTTTAAATTATTATTTTTCCCAGTATCTTCTCAGATATTGATGTTCAGCTGATTGGTGTGCATTTTCCTGGGTCTGTTTTTTTCCCCTTTTTTGAACATGGGAACCACATCAGCTCTTTTTCAATTCTCTGGTAGTTCCCCAGTGCTCCATGATTTTTTAAAGATATGATACAGTGGTTCTGAGATAACATCTGCCAGCTCCTTCAGAACTTTGGGATGTAATTCATCAGGTCCTTGTCATTTATATTCACCAAGGTCAGATAGGTGTTCTCTTACCATTTTCTTGCTTATTTTAATTTTTATTTCTAGTCTGTCTTTTATAGTTATGTTTTTGGTAGGTTGGGCTATAGTTTCTTTTTGCATGAACACTGATACAAAGAATGAGTTAAGCAACTCAGTTTTCTCTCTACTGTCTGTTACTGTTACTTCTCTGTAGTGGACTGACTGTTTCCTTCACTTTTGCCAAGCGCTTCAAGACTACTTTCCTAGCATTCTACATTTGGACAGCCTAGGGTAGAGATGTATATTGAGTGTCTTCAGCATACTGTGTATCAGTGGATGAGTTCAATTAGTGGTTTCACAAAATCAAGGAGTGGTCATTGTCCCGTCATATCAATGCTGACCGGAACCAGCCTTGAGGAGCAAAACAACTGAAATACCATGCACCTTACTCCCAATCTCCTGAGCATATATAGTTAAATGGCATGATTGAAATATAACAAGCTATTTAAAGAGCAGCAAACTTCTCAAAATTCCAGGTAGCCTTAGTTCTGGAACAACAATACTGGAAGAGCAATCACAGTTTAAGGTTCCAGTAAATATGTACAACAACAATTTAACTGTTAATTCAATCCATCAAGGGACATAATTATTACTGGACACAATATTACACATAGTTATCAAAGTGAGATAATAAAGAAAGAGTGGGTACTTGAAATATGAATTTACGAAGGAAGGAAGGAAGGAAGGAAGGAAGGAAGGAAGGAAGGAAGGAAATCTGATTATTTTAGGGAGATTAAATAATCTGGCTCCTGGTTAAAAGCTTTCGCATATTTTACATATACATTTCAGTATTATGATACTTGGGCATTTAAATTTGCAATTAGATCGCCATCTAATCCACTCATGTCAAGTACTTGAAGTGTTTAAATTAAATTTGTCTAATTTTATCACTTAATGCAGCATAGTTTAAAAATTTCAGATACTTTACTAAAAATGTGGATTTTTGTAAAACTGAACATTATTGGGGGAGAGGTTTATTGTTCTCTTTATTTCCCTTAATTATTTCATTAATTTTCACATTTCATAGAAATAAACTTTCAAAGATGCCTATACTTATATCTGCTTCTTCTGATAATCTAAATTGCTTCTTTCCAGAGTGATATTCCTAAAACAAAAACTGCCATGTAGGTCATGCACTGTGCCTTTAACCCTGGCACTTATGTGTCATCTAGATTTTTCATTTCTGAATGAATATGAGTTGGGGAGATGCTAGGGGGAAGTACTGTAGATATTGTAAAAAGTCACAGTCTCACTGCTTTGACAAGAAAATCAGAGTTAATGTTTATAACCTGTACAAAAGGAGGAGAATTAAGCCATATAAACTGAATTTGGGTAGCTTTCTAGAATGTTAACCAAAAATTAAGAAATAGATGGAGAAATTTGAAAACCTGAAAATGTTGGTAGTAAGGTAATGGCTATTATTTAATTAATTACAAAGGATGAATGTATGATGAAATAAATGGAAATACTGATGCATACAAGTATGTTTCTGCCCACTTTGTTATGTAAAAGTGAGAGTTCTATGTTAGGAGAAACATAAAGATTATTTGAATACAATAAGAATGGGGTACTTTAACAGTTCATCTGGTAAAACAAGAAGTACTTTTAAGACTGAATAGCTACTGAACGAATGTGGATTGAATATAAAAAGAGTAACAACTAAGAAAAAAGTATATTAAAGTCATTTAGTCATAGAGCCGTGGTGGTACAGTGGCTAGAGTGCAGTACTTCAGGCTAGGTCTGCCCACAGCCAGGAGTTCGATCCTGAGTGGCTCAAGATTGACTCAAACTTCCATCCATCTTAAGTTAGTAAAATGAGGACCCAGATTGTTGGGGGCAATATGCTAACTCTGTAAACTGCTTAAAGAGAGGGCTGTAAAGCACTTTGAAGCAATATATAAGTCTAAATGCTATTGCTATATAGAGAAAATGAATCAAATCAAATCAAAGAAAGGAAATAGGTTAAATGGAAGAGGAAAATTGGGGTTGGTGGGCTTGACAAAATCCTCAAAGAAAAGTCTAAAATGCATGAATGAATCAATGTACAGAATGTATACTGCTCACAAAAATAAAGGGAACACAAACTCCTTCAGTTCCATGTTAAAATGTTCCCTTTATTTTTGTGAGCAGTATATTTAGTGGAAGTAAGGATGGTTGAAAGAGCAGCAAGGTATGGGTAGCAAGACAGAATTGGAGTTTCTTTGGTTTTATCTTCTTCCTTTAAGTTCTTTTGCCTAATCACTTGCTTTTAACATACTTCATATATTATTACTTAGGTATATATTTCAACCGCTTTCAAATCAGAAAATCAGGTCTGAGTAATGTGCTTAGTGATGCAAAATTTATGCCAACAATTAATAATAAAAAGGTAAATAGATTATGAACTTTTGCATCTAATTACAGGTATAGGATGTTAATTATAGCTATGGCATCATAACGTTCAGTGCACCATAACTCAGGCTATTAGTATCAGGTTAAGATGTAACACTCTCTGAAAGAACTTCAGAAAACTTTCACTAAGCTAATTAACAACTTTTTTATGGGCTTCTCAAACTACATTTGCATACTTACAAAGAGCAAGGTATGGAGTGGGAGGATTACTTAAAGATCAAAAATGACAGAAAGAAAATTAAAACAAAGTTAGAATCCTAAGAATACTTTGTTCCCTCCCTCCCTCCAAAACAAAACAAGCAAACAACAAATAAACAAACAAAGCCATCCTTCAGTGTTTTGCATATAACACATTCAGTTTAAATCTTAGAGTTTTTTTACACGATTCACTCTATTTTCAGCATTTTACAGGAAAATCTAATATTCAGATACACCTGCATCTAACAAGAAATAATCATTCTTACTTTTTATTTGCAGAGAATGAATGTCAAAGAATTGTTAAATTGTTATCATTGTGTATTCAGACGTGAATTTATTTCAGTAGTTTGCTTTTTCATCTATTTTTAAACACATCAATAAAAATAATTTTAATAAAAGTATAATTAGGCACTTAAACTCATTTTCTTTTGCAGGATCCAATCTGGGTCGGTCACCGGGACCAGAAGTTTTGTCTTCTGAGCTTTCGAACTTGTGCTGGAGACCATCTCCAGAGAGAAGTTCCCTGAGGATGGGCTCCAGAATGAGTCTGAAAGTTCGGAAGACTGAATCTTTGATCCCGGCGACCGACCCAGATTGGATCCTGCAACATTATCCCTGGGATACGTATATTCGCCTTCATTCGTAATTTTCCTTTATATGTTGTTATTAAGTTAATTTACCTATGTATGTGTGTATGTATGTATTAAAATTATATTTATTTGTTAATTTTGAATTTTAACATTTTTTCTAAGAGATGTGTATAAAATGTTATATACAATGTGTTATATACAGTGTCCACTTATGAAGCACATAGATAAGAATAATTGCATTGTTCTTTTTCTATGTTTTGTAGGTAGCAAAGTAACCAGCCACATTTACGTCAGTGGGGAAAATTTTCTCCTTGACTCAGAATTATGGATGTAAAAGACAGAAGGCACCGTTCTTTGACAAGAGGTAGATGTGGGAAGGAATGTCGCTATACAAGTTCTTCACTGGACAGTGAAGACTGCAGAGTACCTACTCAGAAGTCCTACAGTTCAAGTGAAACACTGAAGGCTTATGATCATGATACGAGAATGCATTATGGAAATCGAGTTACTGACCTAGTTCACAGAGAATCCGATGAATTTCCCAGACAAGGTATGTTATAGATTCTAGAATGTTTCCAATATTGTTGCAGTAACTTTAAGTGAGCATGTACTCACTTTGCATGTCCCTTTGGCAAATGTGTTTACTTGTGATTTGACATTACTGTACAAAATTCAGGTTCCATTGTGATGCTTGAATATGTTGCTTTTAGGTATATTCAGAAATGCCTTTCTGTATTTCCCTTTCAGTACAGAAGCATTAATAACTATTAATATTATGCAAGTATCATACTGTTATATTTAAGTATTCTAAATATTATAATCTTGCATTATGTCATCAAGATTCATTACATGTATAGTAGAAACATTTTCACAATTATTGTTCTGGATTAGATGCACTCTCAAACTATTAGTGTGATTATCTTATAGCAAACCCACATCCAGCCTCCATTCAATGAGTTAATTTGGTACTTTACCTGTTTCTTACTGAAGTAAATTATATTTTGCTGAAATGTTTTCATCACCTGATATTTAATTTCACTTTAAAAAATTAAAAGCTAAATCCCACCTAATTATTTTAATTTTACCTTTACGTTCTACTGTTTCACAGATATCCAGAAGTCTGTAATTAAACTAAGGACTGAGAATTAATTTACATGAACGTATAAACTGTTGTCCAATATACTGTACATTTTCTACATTACAAGAATTTTATTAACCTGTATGAAGGAAACATCAGTTTTCTTTATTTTTCTTACAGTATGTTTCTCTCTGCATTTCTTTAAGTGTTCATTCATTGTGATTTGATTTCTTAACCTTTAAATGTATTAATTAATCAAATAAATATACTTCAGATTTATAATATTGCATTCAAGATTATCATATCTATAATGCAGGAAATGTAAGTATTTGTAGCCTCACATTTAATTTCCTAGAATTCTTTTAAGTCAGGCATGTCAAACTGCCGGCCTGCGGGCCAGATGCATCATGCCGAAACCGCGCCCATCCCTTTGCCGGCAATGGAGAAAAAGTCCCAATACGTCGCGCGACATCATGTGATGTCGCGAGTTTGACATGCCTGTTTTAAGTCATCTTATTTGTTTGTAAGATTGAATCAAGGCAAATGTTTCTAGGTTTTCCCTAGCCCCAAATGAATCTCATACAATTTTCAAAGATCTTGAAAATTGTCTTGCTATCACTCTTGTGAGAGAATACTTGTTCAACACTGATTTAATTTTATCCAATTTATAGTTTAATAAATGCATTTGATGCTTGATGTTTTATAAATATATTTTAATCTAACTGGATCATTGGTTCATATAATGATCATATTGAATTGCTTTTATCAATACATTTCTTATGAGATCATTGGTTTTATATTTTCTTTCCAAAATGTTTAAAACTCTTTGGAATTATAAACATTAAACCAGTTTCTCAGGATATTCTATAAGGAAACTCAGAATGGTTTTAGTCTTCCAAACAGCAATGAAAACTTGCTTAAACTCTGAAACACTGATTGGCCAAGGACTCAAAGGCCTTTATAGTTAAGTAGATGTCTGTATATGGATTTCCCACTGTTTGTTGTAGCATCCACCTCACGACAATACTTGTCATATTACATCTGTAGCATTACTTCAAGAACAATATTATTTGAATAAAACATTGCCTTTTTTTTCAAAGTTTCACACTACTCTGTGTCTGGAACTCATGGATTTTTAAAAGCTTCCTCCAGCTTCCTTTTTGTTTCATGAAAGTAGTTTCAGCTTGCCCACTATATGAAATATGTACCCTATACTGTTTATAATATTTTAGTTTAGAGGTTCGTTAATAGTTTGGATATATGTTGATTTTTTTTTGTGTGTGTGTGTGTGTGTGTGTGTGTGTGTGTGTGTGTGTGTGAGAGAGAGAGAGAGAGAGAGAGAGAGAGAGAGAGTTGTACTATTAGATAATTGTGAGTGGAAGGCCCAAGAACAAGAATAATGAAATACAACTCATTATATTGAACATGTGAAATGCCAGTAGAAACAAACAAACAAACAAACAAATAAATAAATTCTATAGTATAAATGTAAAAACACAAGTATCAATGACAATTTGTCTCATTGAAAGCATTAAGTACTTGAACATATGTTGTGGATTAACAATCAACATTTGACTCAAAACTTATTTAAAACAGACAATTGTAAATTAAATAATAATATTTATCTGGACTAGTGAAGATTTTGATTTTTTTAATTTAAAGCTATAGAATATTTACATACTGTATACTAATTTATTCAGAGGTTAATTCGATAGTCTGATTTGTCACCATGCAGATATGAATATGTGTTCAAACACATAGGTATAATTGAATGTCTCGGAGAATATTTTGTTGTTATAAATAACTTTAATTGCTTTTTATAATTGTATTTCAGTACTCAGTATTCAGATGGGTAGCCATAAAAATTTGTTTAATGAATATTTTTTTAACATTTGGGTTTAAAATACTTTCTTCATTTTTATGCTATTGCACAGTTCAGTCACAACATGAGAGTTAGTGAGACTTCAGATAATGGTGACATTTAATAAAGATTAAAAAAAATGAATTTTATACAGCAATCTTTTAAACTGTAACACCCAGATGGTATAACACTTAAAATCAAGAAAAAAAATATATCCATAGCTCTGTTATGGAAAATTAGTAAAGTCTGAATTGAGAAATTTTCAGAATGTATAAATTAAAAAATATTGTAATTCAGATAAGTGAAAAGTATACTGGGAAGAATGTTGGCAAAGAAGAAATAGCAAGCTATCTTGGTTATTTTGTTTTCAAAATAGAAATGAATCATTTTCTGAATGTAGTTGCTTCTTTAATATTTCAAAGAAGCCACAGTACAAGCTTAATCTACTTTAATACTGAAATCCACTAGAGAAGGATTAATGTTTAAATAAAAAAAATCTTTTTGTTTCAGGTCTGTAACTTAATACTTCGTTAGGATGAGAAGGGCAAAGATAAGAAAATGAAGGGATTAACCAAGTAGGTACATTCTCCAAGTAATACAGTACTTTCTAGAAATTTAGGAAAATTTAATCAGTGAATCAAATAACTGTTACAATATGCTTTATTAAGAATATAGTAAAGTACTTCACTATAAATAATGTGAAGTTCTGAGTTGAGCCAGTTTTAAGACTATGGGTCAGGATAAGGTTAGATGCACAAATAATAACATGGGGAATAAATGAGGTTACAAGATATACACTGAAACTCTGGAAGCATATCAGTATTTCTGATACTATTGCATTCAGTCCATACATGAAATATGAGACTCAAGTTATTAGTCTTATATATTATGTCATACTAATTATTCATGTAGAATTTTTTTTCTACACAGATTAACAGATCACAAGGAAGACACTTATAACTCATGAGAATATAGTTTCTTATATGGCAAGGGAACATATAAGTTCAGTTAGGACCTTTTCCATAATTCATTGGATCCTACTTTTTGTTTCTGTCTTGGTATTGGTGTCTGGTTTTCCATTATGATTAAGACAATTTGGAGGAAGAGAAAACAGGTTATTAATAATCTAGCAGTTCCCAAATTATGGGTTAGAATCCTCCCCCATAGAGTGAAAATATGAGGGTTATCACACTGTGTCCCATTTTGCCTGCTCATAGCAAATTTCAATGATACAGGTTAGATTTTCTGTGAATAATCTTTGCTCACAGGGCAATGCTTGTATAACACTCTGATGTATTTACCAAGGCAACTCAGCCAGGATTAAGGTGTTTTTGCCTACTCTTTTTTCCCATTTGCAAAGACCACTTCCTGGAAGAGGGAGAATGTCTGTCCTAATCAAGTTGTTCTTGGGGATGTTTAGGGGCTGGTTGGAACTTTTGAGGGAACTGAGAGTGGGAATGATCCTAACTAGATTGTAGCCAATCAAGGAACATTGTGGGGATCATTTCATCACAAAGTGTAAGAATCTCTGGTTTTATTTGCAACAGTCAAAAAAATTAGAGCTATAGGAAAAGAGGAATCTGTACTAGAAGGCTCCAAGGTCATCCATCAGTTTGGATGATTGCTACCAAAATCCCAAATCCATCCCCCTTCAATTGACCATTATCTAGTGCAGGGCTTTTCAACCGGTGCTACGCGTACCACTTGTGGTACGTTAGCGAGTGGCAGGTGGTACACAGCCTTGCCTAGCCAAGTGTAGTGGGGGGAGGGAAAGAGCTAGCGCAGGTAAGGACTTACTGTGAGAGAGTCCTCTGGAGCTGCACTTCTGGCTCACCCTCTCCCATGAGAAAGGAGGAGGAGGGGGCGGAGTCAGGAGAGGCTATAAAAGGAGGCAGTTTGGGCAGTAGAGGGAGAGAGGAAAAAAGAAGCAGCCTTGGGAGGAGGTGGAGTCAGCTCTAGCTGCACCGAAGGGAAGGAGGAGGGTGGGGGGAGAGGAGAGGAGATCAAGCAGGCCAAGCAGACCGGCCATGAGCCAATCTACAACTTCTGTGGCAGCCATCTGTGCTGGCAGCAACAAATAGGCAAGAAATGCAGCCGGGGAGGGGTTGCCCTCCATGAGGAATGAAGAACGGTAGCATTAGCTGGAGGTGAAACACGGAGGGAGTTGGAGAGTGAAAAGATTCTTATGTGCTTTTGTGACTTTGAAGTTCTGGGATTTGTGCAACGAGGCTTTGTATTCTTAAGGAGTGTTTGGCAATTTCTATTTGGCTGATGGCTGATGTCTTGTGTTAGCTTCTATTGCTCTGCTATTGTTAGCTGTAAGTTTTGCTGCAAGGGATTTTGAAGTATTTTTCTCCTGAATGGAGTTTGCCTGTAGCATTCCTTTACTTATGAATGGAGACATTTGGGGAGACTGTCTTAGCTGGCAGCCAATACTTACTACATTTTTTTTCTTCCTTAAGTGCTGGCTGCACTCCTTAACTTTCCTTTCGAGCCAGTCGCTAATTCTTAAAGGGGAATGTGCCTTTTTAAGCTAGTTCACTCAGTAGCTTGTCTTTTCTGTCTCTGGAAGCTTTTTCTTGTTTGATGAATATATGGAAGAGGGAAAATA